GACGATGTACAGCGAGAGCAGCTGTCCCACCAATTGTGCGATGGTTGATTGGGGTTTATTATACAACCGGGCCCAGCTCGGGGGAACGCATCACTTTCTATTTCAATGATCTTTTTTTTCATCTCCATAGTAATTTCCCCCTTATTGCTGTAGGGTTGGCACTAGAAGCTTTTGGGGCCGGGGTCACTTTTTTTCCCAAAAAAATACCAAAAAACACTTTTAATTCAAAATTTTCCCGATTGTATGCTTGGAGTTACCGGGGTGGCGGGAAAACAATGCCCCGGCGGAACTGTGGCGTGGCTCGGCGCCATTGGACGCGTTGGGGACAAAGGGCGGTGAGGGGGTTTTTGGGGCGGTTATGTGAGGCAAAATTTTTGCGATCAAAGCTTTGGGGTATGCGGTTTTACGGTATCGATGCGTCCGGTTGGGGGGTCCACTGTAAAATTTATCGAGTATATAAAAAATTGAAATAACTTTAAAAAATTTGAAATTTTGGAGTTTCCAGACAAATGGGAAGCTTAGTGCTTACTGAGCTCACGAAGAATGTAAAAAAAAAAGGGGGCGCGGTGACCGTTTAGAAGTCGGGTGGGGGAGCGTTAGCGAGTTTTGGTCTAATTTGAAAGGGCCGTATTAGCAGAACGCCGTAAGTGAACCCCGTAAAGCGGGGCCCTGTGTTAAATATAAGTTTTTTTTATATAATGTATATATATATCTTCTTTCAACACACCAGCCGTATCCCACAGAGGCAGGGTGGCCCAAAAGGAAAAACGAGTTTCTCCTTTTACATTTAGTAATATATACAGGAGAAGGGGTTACTAGCCCCATGCTCCTGGCATTTTAGTTGCCTCTTACAACACGCATGGCTTACGGAGGAAGAATTCTGTTCCACTTCCCCATGGAGGTAAGAGGAAATAAACAAGAACAAGAACTAGAAAGAAAATAGAAGAAAACCCAAAGGGGTGTGTATATACAGTGGACCCCCACATAACGATTACCTCCGAATGCGACCAATTATGTAAGTGTATTTATGTAAGTGCGTTTGTACGTGTATGTTTGGGGGTCTGAAATGGACTAATCTACTTCACAATATTTCTTATGGGAACAAATTCGGTCAGTACTGGCACCTGAACATACTTCTGGAGTGAAAAAATATCGTTAACCGGGGGTCCACTGTATATGCTTGTACATGTATGTGTAGTGTGACCTAAGTGTAAGTAGAAGTAGCAAGACATACCTGAAATCTTGCATGTTTATGAGACAGAAAAAAGGACACCAGCAATCCTACCATCATGTAAAACAATTACAGGCTTTCGTTTTACACTCACTTGGCAGGACGGTAGTACCTCCCTGGGCGGTTGCTGTCTACCAACCTACTACCTAGAATATATATATATATTTTTTTTTTTTCAACAAGTTGGCCGTCTCCCACCGAGGCAGGGTGACCCAAAAAAGAAAGAAAATCCCCAAAAAAGAAAATGCTTTCATCATCATTCAACACTTTCACCACACTCACACATAATCACTGTTTTTGCAGAGGCACTCAGAATACAACAGTTTAGAAGCATATACGTATAAAGATACACAACATATCCCTCCAAACTGCCAATATCCCAAACCCCTCCTTTAAAGTGCAGGCATTGTACTTCCCATTTCCAGGACTCAAGTCCTACTATATGAAAATAACCGGTTTCCCTGAATCCCTTCACTAAATATTACCCTGCTCATACTCCAACAGATCGTCAGGTCCCAAGTACCATTCGTCTCCATTCACTCCTATCTAACACGCTCACGCACGCTTGCTGGAAGTCCAAGCCCCTTGCCCACAAAACCTCCTTTACCCCCTCTCTCCAACCCTTTCGAAAGAATTAAGGCATGTATCGTGCCTTTAGAAACAGCTTTTCACTGTGAAGGCATCTTATATATATTTTTAGTTGAACCTTATAATACAGTAGTGGTGTAGCAGTTGCAAGAGGCAGGAATTTGTTGTTCTAAACCATGTTTTAAATTAGGTAAATGTTGTACATAACCCCATAACAGTGGCAATCTTACATGAAAGCACACTTTCAAAGATTTTGGTAATGTTATTTCAGTGACAATGGCCTATAGTTTTTGCAGTGTTTTACTAACATTTTTGTGGAGTTGGGCATTGTCAGCATTTCTTATAGCCTGTGTAATGATGCCTGTGTCTAGGCTCATCCTGTGATGCTGTATTATTTTTTTTTCCCCCTTTTTAATCAATGTGGATGAATATAAGCATGAGGCAGAGTGCATGGTTATGCTATCAGAGATTTTTAAATTGAGGTGGGGTCAGAATTGTGTTAGTAGTGTTGACAAGGATGTATGTTACATTTATGGAAGTCATGTGGGTTGTCAGTCTGGCTTGCTTGATCACTCACTGTCTAGTTGTACTGTATCCATTTCTTTGTTTCTGTTTGTGAAAGTACCAGTTACCTTAACTAAGGGCCCAATACTTAGGGTAGTACACAAATAACCCGCACATAGAAGGAAGAAGCTTTTGATGATGTTTCAGTCCGACCTGGACCATTGACAGGTCACACTAACACACGAAGATGAGGGAGCCAGTGTATGTAGGAGAGGTAGTCTTTGCTCTGAAAATTTGCCACCTTGATGTTGGTGAAAAGTTATTGATCCAAGGAATTGAATTGGATCAGGCTTAATTACCACCTCCCTTAACCTGAGCACTGTATGAGCCCTATGGGTTTAGCACTTCATATAAATATTATACAGTAATAAAAACAATCTGAATTATGTCAGCTCACTTCTGGCACGAAAATGATGGTGAATATGTTTCCTACTTTGGGTCACCCTTCCTTGGTGGAAGATGACTGTTGAGGTTAAAGGAAAAAATAATCAAAGTCCTCTAGGTGTATAATAGCCTGGGGACCCTGACCTTAGTTAACAGTACCTTAAGCATCTCGGCAGTATTACAGGCTGCATAATCCACTCCATCCACAGTTCATTATCCACCATATAATAGAGACGGAATTAATAAAGCTATGTGCTGCTGGCTATCTTGGCCTACAAAAGCATTCTGGTGATTACTGTCCAACTTAAGTTGACACCCATTAATCTTCTCACCCAATGACATGAAAAAAAAGCTGAACATGTTATCTGCTGTCCATGCTAGGGTTTGAACTTTGGAAAAAGAATTATAAGGAACACTGTAGTGCTCTTGCTGAACTGTGTGCTTCTAGCACCAACAGCCTGATTCATCAGGGCATCCACAGAGAGGCGTGGGCCCAGACCAGGTCACAGAGGCAATGACCCTTGGAGTCAACAGCAAGTTGATGCAACACACTGTGCATTGTTTTAGTTTTGATAATGCTGTTAAGCATTTTTTCTCATGCATGCAACACCTGATCTATACTTCTGGGTTTAGGAACTAATATATATGCCCCTCTCTTTCAGATATTCTTTTCCTTACAGAATGCAGGTCGACCACAACATGAAATTCAATACTTGGATCTGGACCTTGACCCCGATGCTCGTCACAGCCCCAAGGTTTCAAAAGGGGCATCCAATAAATGCCCTGTTGGAGCTTCTGCCCCTTCAGTTGTATACAAGAAAGTTGATTTCGTGAAAACAGATGCATTTAACAAGATGAGAATTAATGTGGAGGATACTTACAGAAAAAATCAATAATAAATGAAAAATTTACTTTGTAGTTGGACAGTTAAGATTTACAAACCTGTAAATAAGCTTGAAGAGTCTATTCTAAAGGAAATTAATATTAAAATGTGCAAAATATATTATATATATATATATATATATATTATATATAAAATATATATATATATATTATATATTTTATATATATATATTATAATATATATATATATATATATATTATATATACATGTATATATATACATGTATTATATATATATATATATATTTTATATATATATATATATATATATATATTTTATATATTTTATTTTATATATATTTATACACACACCACACACATACATATATGTATGTATGTATGTTCAATGAACCAGCCATATCCCACCAAGGCAGGGTGATTTAAAAGGAAAAACGAAAGTTTTTCTTTTTAAATTTAGTAATTTATAGATTAGAAGGGGGGTTACTAACTCCTTCCTCCCGGCATTTTAGTCGCCTCTTACGCCATGCATGGCTTATGGAGGAAGAATTCTGTTCCATTTCTCCATGGAGTTTTTTCTTTTTTTTTTCATGCCGGCCATCTCCCACTGAAGCAAGGTGACCCAAAAAAGAAAGAAACACTTTCACCATCATTCCACACTTTCACCATCATTCAGTACTTTCACCATCATTCACACATAATCACTGTCTTTACAGAGGCGCCCAGATACAGCAGTTTAAATGTCTCTCCAAACAGGAGGAGGAAAAGAATCCTCCAAAAGTCATGCATGTAGTAAGAGGCAACTAAAATGCCAGGAGCAAGGGGCTAGTAACCTCTTCTCTCTGTATAAATTCCTAAATGCAGGAAGAAGAAAAACTTTTCCTTCTTCTTTTTTGGGTCACCCTGACTTCGTGGTAGACTACCGGTGTGTTAAAAGTAAATAAATAAATTATATGTATATATACATGTATATATGTATATATAGTATATTATATACATATAGTATATATATATATAGTATATATATATTATAGTATATATATACTATATATATATATATATATATATATATAAAATATATATTATACTATTATATATAGTATATATATATATATATTTTAGTATATATATATAGTATATATTTTATATAGTATATATATATAGTATATATATATATAGTATATATATATAGTATTATATATATATATATAGTTATATATATATATAGTATATATATATTATATATATATATATATATATATTATATATATATATATATAATATATATATATATATAATATTATATATATATATATATATATATATATATATTTTATATATTTATGTGTGTGTGTGTGTTGTATATATATATTTTATATATATATATATATATACACACACACACACACAACATACACACACATAAAACACAATACACACAATTACACACACACACACACACACACACACAACACACACACACACACACACACACACATACACATACACAACACAACACATACACACACATACACACACAACACACACATACACACACATACACACACATACACAACATACACACACACCCAACCCACACACACACACACACACACACACACACACACACACACACACACACACACACACACACACACACCACCCCAACCCCACACACACACACACAACAGTTTTTACAGTAGAGACAGGAAGGGCTGTGGGAAGACAGCACAGAAGGGAACATCAAGAGGGAATATACCAACAAGTGTTGGATGACATACGAACAACTGAGGAGGAGGTGAAGAAGCTCTTAAGTGACCTTGACACCTCAAAGGCGATGGGACCGGACAACATCTCCCCATGGGTCCTTAGAGAAGGAGCAGAGATGCTGTGTGTGCCTCTAACCACAATCTTCAACACATCCCTTGAAACTGGGCAACTACCTGAGAAATGGAAGACAGCTAATGTAGTCCCCATATTTAAGAAAGGAAACAGAAACGAGGCACTAAACTACAGACCTGTGTCTCTGACATGTATTGTGTGCAAAGTCATGGAGAAGATTATCAGGAGGAGAGTGGTCGAACACCTGGAAAGGAACAAGATTATAAATGAAAACCAGCATGGGTTCATGGAAGGCAAATCTTGTATCACAAACCTCCTGGAGTTTTATGACAAAGTAACAGAAGTAAGACACGAGAGAGAGGGGTGGGTAGATTGCGTTTTCCTAGACTGCAGGAAGGCCTTTGACACAGTTCCCCACAAGAGAATAGTGCAGAAGCTGGAGGATCAGGCACACGTAAAAGGAAGGGCACTGCAATGGATAAGGGAATACCTGACAGGGAGGCAGCAACGAGTCATGGTACGTGAAGAGGTATCACAGTGGGCGCCTGTTACGAGCGGGGTCCCACAGGAGTCAGTTCTAGGACCAGTGCTATTTTTGATATATGTGAATGACATGATGGAAGGAATAGACTCTGAAGTGTCCCTGTTCGCAGATGACGTGAAGTTGATGAGAAGAATTAAATCGGACGAGGATGAGGCAGGACTGCAAAGAGACCTGGAGAGGCTGGACATGTGGTCCAGTAACTGGCTTCTCGAATTCAATCCAGCCAAATGCAAAGTCATGAAGATTGGGGAGGGGCAAAGAAGACCGCAGACAGAGTATAGGCTAGGTGGACAAAGACTACAGACCTCACTCAGGGAGAAAAGACCTTGGGGTGACCATAACACCGAGCACATCACCGGAGGCACACATCAACCAAATAACCGCTGCAGCATACGGGCGCCTGGCAAACCTGAGAATAGCGTTCCGATACCTTAATAAGGAATCGTTCAAGACACTGTACACTGTGTATGTTAGGCCCATACTGGAGTATGCAGCACCAGTCTGGAACCCACACCTGGTCAAGCACGTCAAGAAGTTAGAGAAAGTACAAAGGTTTGCAACAAGGCTAGTCCCAGGCTCAAGGGAATGTCTGTACGAGAAAAGGTTAAGGGGAAATCGGACTGACGACACTGGAGGACAGAAGGGTCAGGGGAGACATGATAACGACATACAAGATACTGCGGGAATAGACAAGGTGGACAGAGATAGGATGTTCCAGAGAGGGGACACAGGGACAAGGGGTCACAACTGGAAGCTGAAGACTCAGACGAGTCACAGGGACGTTAGGAAGTATTTCTTCAGTCATAGAGTTGTCAGCAAGTGGAATAGCCTAGCAAGTGAAGTAGTGGAGGCAGGAACCATACATAGTTTTAAGAAGAGGTATGACAAAGCTCAGGAAGCAGAGAGAGAGAGGATCCAGTAGCGATCAGTGAAGAGGCAGGGCCAGGAGCTGAGTCTCGACCCCTGCAACCACAATTAGGTGAGTACAATTAGGTGAGTACACACACACACAACACACACACACACAAGGTGGACAAAGGATGTTCCAGGGAGGGGACACAGAAACAAGAGACCACAATTGGAAGTTGAAGACACAAATGAGTCAGAGAGATATTAGGAAGTATTTCTTCAGTCAAAGAGTTTAAGGCAGTGGAATAGCCTAGGAAATGACGTAGTGGAGGCAGGAACCATACACAGTTTTAAGACGAGGTTTGATAAAGCTCATGGAGCGGGGAGAGAGAGGGCCCAGTAGCAACCGGTGAAGAGGCGGGGCCAGGAGCTAAGACTCGACCCTGCAGAGACCACAAATAGGTGAGTACACACACACACACACACACACACAAACTAACACCTAGCAGCGATCAGTGAAGAGGCCGGGGCCAGGAGCTCAGGACTCAGACCCCGCAACCTTCAACTAAGTGAGTACACACACACACACACACACACACACACACACACACACACCACACAGACACACACTTCACACACACACACACACACACACTAACACACACACACACACACATACACACACACACATACACAGACCAACTAATACACACACACATACACACACACACCACCAATATGCACACTCACATACGCACACACACATACGCAACACAACACATACGCACACACATACGCACACACACATACGCACACCACACATTACGCACACACAAACGCAACACACACATACGCACACACCACATACTCACACCAACACATACCGCGCGCACCACACACACACGACAACACACACACACACCACACACACACACACACACACACACACACACACCACTCCATTCACTTGCATATGTAAAAAGACTCACGAGTTTAAACTATAATTTCATCCCAAAATGTGCATAATCAACAAAAACACACAAATTTGAATATTGTAATTATATATATATATATATATATATCTATATATAAATATATATATCTAATATATATATATATATACTATATATATATATTAATATATATATATATTGGAGGTGGAAGAGTTATTTTATAAGGTTGCATATGTAATTGCTTCAAAGACCAAAGAAAAAAATGGGAAAGATTCATGATATACCATTAGAACAGCAAAGATATTCATAAGGTTTAATTATAACTTATTTTTTTCATTGCTAAATTCTAGATGAGGAAAAAAAAAAGTGTGTGGTTCCTTTTTTCCTTCCCTTTTATTTCTGCTAACCATTATTTTTTGAACATGTCACCAACCAATTACTGCGCACAGACAGGATATTAAAATAAGAATGTATTCCTCTTTAAACACTGACACCCAACTTTACCTCCTGTTTTAGGGATTTAAAGTGTTCTTGACTGATTTTAACAAGTAACATGCAGTCTGAAGCCTCAGGTGTTTGTAGGCCTTTAACCAAGCAACTAACCAACTGAAATACATTTATCGGGTTTTGATGTGATTGTAGAGTTAGAATAATTCACGAAATTTCAAAATTTAAATTATATTATTTTCTCTTACCAATAATAGAGGTGGAAGAGATATTTATGCATAAAAAAATACGTGGGATACTTCGTCCAGGACCCAAGTCGAAAAAACTTCGTACGTGGTGATCATATGCTTGTTTCTCCTTGCATGAAGTTTAGCCGCCCATTGTATAGTCCTTGTGGCTTAGCGCTTTTTTTTTTATTATAATAATAATTGCCTGCCCGGGGGCATTGGTCCCGGCAGGCAGCACACTTCTCGGGGGAAGGCGGGATGAGGTCA